TCTTCTTCTATCAGTTCTTAATCACCTTAAATGAAATCGGGTGAATACATCTCATACTACTGAGTTACTGGTAGTCACGAAAACAATATTTAATTTGAAAAATAAAGTAAATTCTCAATATGAGGTGTATTCACCCAATTTCGTTTAAGGTAATGAAGGACTGGTAGAAGAAGAATTTTCTCACAATCATATGAGTTGAGCTGACGTTTCCATTCAATTTCACATAGCTCAACTTTTATCATTGTGGGAAAATTCTTCTTCTATCAGTTCTTAATCACCTTAAACGAAATCGGATGAATACATTTCATATAACTGAATAAAGATTGACTGGCGTCTAATGAAGACTGTTAGATTGTGCTGAGTGGTTCTCGACTTACCAGTCAGTGATTAAACAAACTTTTTATTCAAACTGGAAAATCAACTTCCATAAGCCGATGTATGATTCTGCAATTTATAAACATGTGCAGGTGTGTGATATTGCGTATTGTGTGTATGCAATTTCAAAGTCCTAATCGTACTCGAAGCTATTCCATCATCCTTCCTTGGCTCAACAGCTATTCCTGTTGCACCTCCTCCGCTTCACACTTAAGCCTATCAAACGAACACACATTCTTCCCATTCACCTTCCCAAACCCGATCCTCCTCTTCAACAAGTTGTTTCTTCCTACAGTCTGTCCGACCTTAAACTTGGATTTGAAGTTGCCGTAGCCTACAATACTCTTTCGCGGAGCATTCCATTTCTTGTCCGATCCTGACGACCTGGGATACATAGCGACTTGCAAACGGTTGTGTGTGTGTGTGTATGTGTGTGTTTTATACCCTCTTATGCATGATTCGGCACAACATTTTGCGGCGTCCTCATCTAATACTCAACAAAATTGTAATCCTTCCTGTCTAGGGCGAAAACGGGCAAAGGTCTCCTCCATCATATGATGAACATCATCAGATCTGCAACTAATTATTGTAAAAGTCTTACGCTAACACTAGGTCAAGAAGAAGTAAAAATACCCTGAGTAATATGAAAGGGAATTAGCCAAATGATTATACATTTATCCAACTATATCAACACATTTTCGTTTTTTACTATTAGTATACATAAAATGTAAGATAGAACCAGACAATTGTTTTAACTTGAAGCATGTACAGTAATTATTTCCAGCTCTGAGGCTGGACGAAACTTGGACCTTTTTTGCCCGAAGCAAAGTAGGTTGTCTCGTGGATCGAAGTAAAGCCAGACGGTTGCAGAATAACGATAATCTGCCGTCGTCATTTGGTGAGATCGACTTGCGAATCTCTTCATCACACACTTTTATACGAACTGAAAGTCTAGTTCTCTCAATTTCATTTACAAATAACTGTCTGGTACTAGTAATGGATAAATGTTTTCCATTAAAGTATGCTTTAATCTTGTGGTTTTTTACTGCCGACGGTTTACATCCGTAACACACAGATTCCTTATTCCCTTCGGATTCATAACGCCCACTTTTCCTCCCATTTGTATGATCAAAACAGAAAGTAAGGATGAAACCCGCTTTTGTAGCTCACCTAAAAACATGTCTATCCAACTCATGACTGCCACTCAGAATCGTTTTTTTCCCAACTTCATGACAAATTAAGTTCTCCAAGCTAATCTATCCATTATCGTCAGAAATCCATCCAGTCTCTCCTAGTCGTGGTGCAAAATAGCAAATTAATGGTCCATACACCAAATTAACAACTTAGGGGCTAAAAATGCTTCCTGAAATAAGCGATTCTTCAATTGAGCCAAGTAATGGTTAGTTGAAATTGCGGCCTAATCTCGTGATTGTTCATATTGCAGATAGCCTCGAAACTATTCATAACGAAATTTGTCATTGTAATGATTGAAACTTTGAATAAAAACTGGTTTTCGAAGATTTGGACTTGTATGCGTACAGTACGCCATTTCACTTACGTACAAAAAGGTAGGATCATAAATTTGTTAATAAATTTGCACAAAATCAGCTGCATCTGCATCCACTTCAAACTGCCACACCCTAATCAAACACTTCATGGGATGCTTCAATTGGATCGTACAGATGCATACAAGAAGTGACTGTGATTACAACCGAACACTCTTGGCTTCTAGGATTATTGTATTTGGTGCATTTTTTTCGTGTGGAATGTTTCCTTGCTCTAAGAAGGTCTGCCACGACAGGACACAAATGAAAATCAAACTTGGACATGTTCTCATTTGACTTTAAAAAGATTGCCTTCAGTTCGGAAGAAACAACAATGGATCGTCTTCTGGTGAGATTAACAAATACGCAACAATTTATTGAATAACTTCATGCGAAGTGGAGAGGTCAACTCCGAGGACACCTCAAAGGTGACAACTTATTCTTTAATCTCGGCCAATTAATCCTGGACGAGATGGAATCAGAGCAAGATATCATCGTCACAATAAAAAATCACTAAAAAGCTGTATATATATATATATACTCTGTAATTGGCCTCTTTGATGAGGTATAAAGTGATTTAGTTACTTCCAAATCAAACACAAGCAGGCACATACACCTACAGAGACAGACACACCCGCAGGCTTCGAGGTTGACCTATGACTGGAAGTAACCAAATCACTTTATACCTCATCAAAGAGGCCTGATGTAGAGTTTTGCTGGTGAGTTTTCTTGACTCGTTAAGTTGAATTTGGTTGTGACGATAATACCTTGTTCTGATGATGTCCGTCATGTGACGAACGAATGCTTACCACCTTTTTACCAGAATCGAAGAAGATTGCCTCGGAAACAGCGTCAGCATGAATGTTTGAGTAGAGCCAATCGACAACTGGTCAAGAGGAATGCGTCGGCGTCTTCTGATGGAATCGACCCTCGAATCTCTTCAAACACTTTTATCGAAATGGAAGTGAGCTGACTAAGTTATTTTAATATGAGATGTATTCACCCAATTTCATTTAAGGTGATAAAGGAAGCGTAGAAGAAGAATTTTCCCACAGTGATATGCGTTGAGCTATGTGAAATTGACTGGAAATGTCAGCTCAACTCATATAATTGTGGGAAAATTCTTCTTCCACCAGTCGTTCATCACCTTAAACCAAATTGGGTGAATACATCTCATATTACTGATTTACTGATAGACACGAAAAACAATACCTTATTCGAAAAATAAGTTATTTTACAAGCATTGTTGATAGTCTCGAAAACCACTTCCATCTAAAAAAAGTGACATTGTCGATGGCAATGGGAAACTCACATTTAGGGTGAGATTGTCAATTTGGCAAAGTTGTGATTGCCATTGCCAACGACGATGTTGCTTATTTTACATTTCCAGGGCAAGCATATGTTTGCTTTATTGAAAATGGAACTATAAAAAGTGATTTGGGAGAGACCTGGCTAGACTTGAATGTCACACCTACCCTGTGACTCACTGATACTCGTTTCCATTGAGTGGACTGATAACGAGTCGCCATGGCCAGAGTTCGAGTCCCGTTGAGGGGGGTCGATGAAATGCGGCGAGGCGGAGTATAAATTACACATTAGACTTTTAGAAGTAAGAATTGGGTGAATTTCAGTGGTCTTGTAAGACCTAATCATTTGATTGTGTCAACTATCAATCTTTAAAAATCACCTAAAGTTTGCTAGTCGTCTAAATCCCAACATTTTGCCGGATATGAGCACTTGACAGTTAAATGAAAGATCAGGGTCAATTTAAATTAATAAAACAAAGAACATTCTGAATAAAATGAAACGATTGTAGGAAATTAAGTAACAAATTAAGGTGATTACATCTCATAAGACTGATTTAATGGTAGACTCGAAACTTTACTAATATACGAAAAATCAAATAACGTAGTCGAGCATTATAGCAAAAATACATTTGCTTCATCGACAATCTAAACACAGAATGTGATATGGGAAATTCACATCTGCCCTGTGACCCAAGAGCACTCGTGGCAATGTGGACGAGTGGTTCACGTGTCAAGCTCACATTGTGCACTGTCACGGTTCGACTCCCGCTGGGGGTGTTGATAAGATCTGGGCGAGGTCAAAACTGCAGCCACTTCGGTCTGAAAGAGCACAACTTTTGAGACAGCATGGCAATGGAAACGTCAGCTCTACTCATAGCATTGTGGCGTCTTCATAATTAAGTGGAAGATGAGGGAGTCGATTAAAATTAATAAAACAAACAACATCCTGAAAAAGAGCAACGAATGTAGGAAACTAAATAAGAAATATCTCTGGCTTCTAAATAGAAACAAAGAGAGAGAAAGAAATAGATAGAGACAGATATAGACCTAAAATTGCCAACCAACTCGAGGTTGTTGAATGCATACACACGCAAACACGCATCCACGAAGCTGTAACAAGACCCCGTACGGCTGGATCACACTCTAGTCTATTTGCATACACACATCCGCTCCCCTGCCTGCATCACTTACATGCATGTAGGACAGGCATACGTCAGCCAACCAAATCATACTAGTGCTCAGCTCGTCAAGCTCACATCTTGCACTATCGCGGTTCGACTCCCGCGAGGTCGAAGCTACAGTCCACTCCTGCCTGGATGAGAACAACTTTTGGGCAAGCAAGGCTATGTGAAATTGAATGGAAACGTCAGCTCAACTCATATCATTGTGGGAAAATTCTCCTTCTTCTACCAGTCCTTCATCAGCTTAGACGAAATAGGGTGAATACATGTCATATTACTGAATTTACTGGTAGTCACGAAACTCTACTTTAATACGAAAATAAATCATACCATGCCTCATTGAGATCGCAAAGTGAGGCCTAAGAAGCAATTAGGATTTGTGGGCTTTTTTCGTGAATAATGCTTTCTCGTTGTGACGATGTCCGTCACATGACGGACGCTAGCTGAGCGCGGAGTCATCGGCGTCGTAGGACGGTGAACCGAGGCCTTCTGCGCACAGTTTAAGAGACAAAGTCCAAGTGAACCGACCCACCTGCTCAAACGAAATGAAATTCACGCCATTATCATGTTATTTTAGTTTTCCAAAATTACCGCTAAACTCCAAAACTACTCATATCGCATACAAGTAGGCATGAATAGCACTTACAAATGTTTCCTCTATGCCTGGCGTCCTCCCATTCGGTGTGGGTGCTCGGGATGGTCTGATTCTGGTCGAGTGCGATGGTGCCCGACAGCCAACACTCGGCCTTGGCGAACTCGAGCAGTCCGCCCTCGTGTGAAGGACCCGAGGGTAGGGTGCAGATGATGGGCGAGCCATAATAGACGCCGGCAGTTGTGATGAGACCGAGGCAGCTGAGCACCGTGAACGAGAAGAGGTAGCTGAGTCGATCGGCAAAGTCCTCGAGCGAGGCCGACGCCAGGTCGGGGTCGACGAAGGCATGCGAGAACTTGGCGAATGATTCTGCGATATCCCATACCATGGCGGGAATCGAGTGGACGAGTTGGCCGGTCTGGCCGACTGATTCACTTCACCGGGACTCGGTGAGGCCGGACGGTGGGAAGGGTGGAGGGAAGAGCGGAAACGGCTGAAAAGTCGCAGGATGGGCCAACAA